ATGTGTATTCATATGTAATGTATGAGCATTGTTTACAGTTCAAAACACGTTCATGGGAAATAACCCTCCCCCCAAAAAATCAAAATCTGAGAGAATAATTCCTGCATCCATCCGAAGCAGGCATTTGAGTGAAAGAGCATGATGCCACAGATACTGTAGGTACACATCACTTCATTGTACAGTACACTGCTTGTTTAAGTATTCTCTTGTGCCTCAATGGAGTCATACAGAATTGGCCATGTGAGAAAACCAGCCATTTCTCCTGGGGGCTTTTTTTTTCCTGGTTCCTTTTCACGTCCACTTGTTAGATAAACACAGACGCGATTCAACACAATCAGCACTTCCACCCTCGGGACCTGATAGAAGAAGTAAATGCCAATATTTCCAGGAATTTCCTTTGCAATGTTTGATTGTTCTATTCAAGCATGTAAGGTCTAGCATCTCAAATGAGCATAGGCGCAGAACTCTAGACACATTGAAGTGATTGTTGTCTGCCAAAAAGATTGTTATTGGCCAGTTCATGTGCATATCATACTCATTTTATCTCAATCAAACAGCCATAACATGTAGGGGAAAATACTTTTATTCTCATCTGTTATAATAGCAAAGATGTGTCTTTGTGACATTTTAATATTATTTGTAATTGCATATAATAAACCAAAAAGCATCTTTCTTCTAAAGTATAATTATCAATGACAATAATGTAACTATAGGGGATACTATATGTAGTACTACTTATTTCTTGATGTTAGACAGTATCTGTTTATGTCTTTATTTGGGCTGCCAGTTTGTGGAAACTAGGTTGTAATAACCATATAAAACAAGGTTATTACACTCTGGTTTCCAAATAATTTGGAACTCCCATTTATTATTCAAATTTCAAGTGAGGATGTAATGCATTGAACCAAGCCTGCAAGCATGTAAAATCAATGGCAATGATGCTTTGTGTCATACAATGTACAGCTGTAGAGCCCTGGGGTGTGAACATTAAAATGCAAACTTTACATGCCCCTCTGCCATACTAGTGTGTATAATTACTGTATGTTTTCTGCCAAATCAATGTGTTTTTTTTGTTTTTGTTTTAATGATGCAGAAAAAAAAGTGAAAGTGTCTGATCAAATATTTATCTGATTACATGTGGCCGATTGTATTAAATGTGTTATTGTTAATCAAAAAAACCAAACAAATAGAGCGCCTAAGAACGAGGAACAAAGACTCCAAATTTTGCTCCAAAAATTGCATCAAACGATGAATCACTTCAAAACAAACACGAAACAGAAACACGTTGCGTTGTTGTCGTACAATATTTAGCACGACACTGACAGCGATTAATATTCATGAGGCTGCGACTTTGCAGACCCTCAGGATAGTTAAATTAATTATGCTAACAGGGTCATTTAACTGCTTTATTCAAAGCAAAGCAATTCTCGTGCAATAAGTGACACAATAATTACACACAATCTAACGAGAGGACAGTGACAAGTGGAGGAGCGACACGCTCATCTTCATAAAGTACAAAGAAGACATTTACACAGCAGCGCAAAACAAACACAAAACAGAAGTAAAATCCATACAGGCGAGATGAAAGAATAACTAAAGCCGGCTAACAGTTTTACATCCACGGCAGCACTTTCTCTCTCAGAGTAGTAAATTTGATTTGTTACTATGTGTTATTATTTGGAATTATTCATTTTCTCTGTCAGTGCACATTGAGGGGTAATAGAAATGCCAGCAAGGTGGCTGATTTACTTATTAAAATTTTCATCTCAAGGCTTGAGAGGCATGATTGGAGTCTGTAAGAGTAACGGGAAATCATGCATTATGTAGGCGAATTTGACACGACCTTGAGACTTCTGAGCGCAGACCATATATTACCATCAGAGCGACCTTCCCATCCCGAAGATACATCTGATGTGTTTAAGGCTGTTTTACAATGCATTAGGAGGGCTTTACATGTGCTGAGCTCACTTTATTTGCTCATACATTTCACAGGAAGAGTTTAGTGTCAGGCTGATGGGGACCGTTCACAGTGACTGAGTCACTTGTCGAGACAAATGAGCCCGCGGAAACAGGCCGAGGCGTTGGATAATAAGCATTTCAAAGCAAATTCCCGCTTTCCCACTTTTACTTCCCTCCAATATACAGCACATTTACTATTCACTGAACCCATGTGGATTCCAGCTCATCAAGTATTCACGCTTACTGCGATTGATTGACCTGCATCTTGAAGACAGAATAGATATGATTTTTCCCACCAAGCTATGGGGCGTCAGGATCAATATTCTCACTGTTGGTTAAGCTTTTGCAACCTTTAAAATATCAACTCCAATCGATCTCTCTCACATAATTGCCTACATTTTCAAATCAAGTCTCCCACCCCCCACGCCCCGTTTTGTACATGCCAGTGACATTTGAAATGCCTCACCAGTCCTGCCACACGACCTGTCGGAGTACCTATGCTAAAGGGCACAAAACACATTTATTAGCATATTACATTTATTGCTCTGTCCACCTTGTTCTGCTTTTCACCCCTGTGCTATAAACATGTGAGAGAGCAAGGCCATGTTATATTTCCATATAAAAAGCCCCATAATTATGGGGGGATGGTTGTTCCCCTTATCAGAGGGAATGATAAGGGAGTACCAAGCCCTTTGAAAGAACGGGGTCCATTTTGATATAATTGGCAGTGGAATTATTTATGACATTAATTGCCACATTATCGACTGGCTGTCAGCTCCTGTGTCAGTCTGTCCATCTTTCTTAGCAGAAAGAGCCAGCTCAGCCTGGTGCCCACTGACAAGCTAATTACTACAGCACAACCCTGAGTGACAAATGTTACTCATCTAAGACCGGCCCGGAAATAAGGGCCACTCTCCCACCCCCCCCTTTCAGCTCCTCTGGCTCAAGTGAGACAGCAGTGTGCTGCCAGATGTCTTCAGTAGCAGGAGGGAAGGGGTTTGCATGTCAGACACAGACAGAGAAAAAGTGGGGTAGAAAAGGAAAAAGGGGGGAAAGAGATTTCTAGAGCCAGGAGGACAGTTAAATCTAAATCTCACCCCATCCTGTCTGCTGCTCTATCAGTGGCCACTTGTCACTCATACAGACAAGTCCTTTTTCCTTTCTCCGCCTCCTTGTAAATTTGCATTAGCGCATGCCAATCAGTCATCAGGCTGTGAGCTGATATCTAGTGATGGGGCGATTGGTCCTTAGTTTTCTTGACAGCAAGTCACACACTCGTGTGCCTTTGGGGAGGAGAATTGCGCTGTGCCAACAATGTAGGAAAAATCTGAGCTCATACAATATGCAAATACATTTTAATATACCTACAGTCTGAAAGCCTTCCAATATTGTGCAACAGTTGCTGTGAAAGTATGTACAGTATTATTGAAGACTGTGCAAAAGGATGAACTTAAATTAAACTTTCTCATATTAAATAAGGATACAGGAAGAGCTATCACATCGTCATCTGTATTTGTGGCTATTAAGAGCACATCAAAACTCAAGCAAAAAGAGCAGTTACTTGGAATACTTATAATAGGCCCAAATCAAGTTTTATTTATTTTTTTTACAAAATGCACGTGCCGTATTGTTAGTATTAAGGTTTCATTGTGTAACGTTTCCTTTCTAGTACAAAAACAGCAAAAATTGTCTATGCAAACTGTGCACAAAGACCTAGATGATGCTCACGCAGATATGGATTCACATAAAAATATGCACATTCAGAGTTACACTTCCTATGCGTGTGCCTACGCACAGACACACACATGCACACTGCGGCTAGTAGAGGAGCCTGCAGGGCCACTATAGCAGAATGTCACTGATCTGCTGTGATGAAGTGGCGTGCCATTTGTTCAGCCAAGAAGTTCCCAAGGAGCAGCCTCAGTGACAGAGCCGAGGGTCAAGGAGGGCACCGCCTACAGGTAGATCTGTGCCTCATACCTTAATTAATCTACTGTCCGTGATGCCAAGCATCCCATTCATCCCACCGCATGCACAAAGGCACACGTCAAGCATATGTCAACCCAATCTGGCACTCCCTGCCCACCCCATAATGCAGTTTGTGTTGGTGTGGCAGCTCGGGATGCATCCCTGACGAGGATGGGAAGTGACACGCACCAAACTCGGTGTGTCCCCCAGCCAGCTCCGGTGGCTCGGGGCCTGTCAATTCCAGCTCCGTCAGTGGCACTGGCTCAATGGCAGTGCCTGTGACACATGTCACAAAGTTTTAAATGTCTGCTCTTTTCAGCAGGATGGCTGGGCGTGCGCCGCAGCCAGGGGAAGGATGACATTTTGTGTCGTGCGGGGGGAACTTGTTGTGGCTCCCCTCTTCCTGCCTCCTCCGGCTGTCAGCCCCAGTTTCCTCTGAACATATCAAAACACAGACAAATAAACCTTGTCATTTTGAAACGCCAGCACTAGTGACCAGGCTCCTGAACGGCATGTCATCTGGAATATGGTCACACAGTCCTGTTGAAAGTTGTGAAGTGAACGAGCAAGCAGACACACACACACACACACACACACACACACACACACACACACACACACACACACACACACACTCGTATACTAGTGCAAATGTTTAAGCTAATAGAAATATGAGACGAACTGAAAGAGACACAGTGAACAAACATTGCATCAGGCTATCTCTGACCTTTTCTTCATCCGTTTGTGGATGAGTGACACACTGTACTGAAGCTCAACATGGTTTCTTTCAAGTCCCAAATAAATAAAGCCTCTATCTCATCACTGTGGTTTATTCACCTCCATCACTTCTAAAGTGTAAGTAATCAAGCCTTATGATTTGATGACAGATGAGTTTTGTCAGTCACTGACATCTTTAATAAGCTTTATGCAGGAAAAAAATATCTATGTGATGGACAGTTCCTCATTAGGAAACAGTTTAAAGTGCCGGCAGAGGGAACTAAATGCGAAAGCATCATAGTACCTTAAACTCCACATCAAATTGACAAGAGACATGTGTTAGTTCAACCCATTTAATTAAATCCTGTTAATACAATTTCACATCAGATCAGATTTATCACATCCTTTACATTAAAATTTCAATTTGTTGCCTCAGAAATTTGACCTGCTGCTGTGAGAGGGCATTAAACGGATCAATACAACAATGGTAAGCCACAACAATTATAAAGAGAATAACAAAATGTAAACATTTCTCATGCAGCAACACTGGTTATTACATTGGCTTGGATATTCTGAAAATTGTAAAGCAATAAAAGAGAGCAACATTTCAGACATGAACCTGGAAAGAGAAATTAAAGCTGGTGCTGGAATGTTTTATTTTTATGATTAAGCTGCATTTCGTTTGGCTTCTTTTGCTTCAAACAAAAAAAAATGTGCACACTGTAGAAGAAACTCACCGAATCGTCTCAGTTATCCGATTTTCGACTTTCAAGAAGAAATTTTCTCTTTTTTAGACACCAAAAGTTCCAAAAGATAAAAATAACCAAATAAAAATCACATGAGCACAAAAAACCCTACTCCCCTGAAAAAAAATAAAATTCTGCCTCAAACTAAAGCCTTGTCTTAATGTTTTAAAGAAGATGTGAGTGTGTGTAAGCGAATGATACACACGGTGAAAGAGATGAGTCCGTGTCAGGCCCCAGGTGTGTGACCATAACCTCTTCACCCTTGATTAGTGGTGGTAGTGGACAAGTGATTCATCATGGCTGTCAAGGAAGAGGACGCAATTGGCTGGGTATGTTTGTCACTGACTCTGTGTGTGTGTGTGTGTGTGTGTGTGTGTGTGTGTGTGTGTGTGTGTGTGTGAGAGAGAGAGAGAGAGAGAGGCTTGTGCTCTTGTGTTTGTGTTTTGAGTCTCGAGTTTTGCAGTTGCAAATGCTTAGAGGCAATCATGTCATTCAGAGTGTCATCTCCGGCTGAGCTGCATGCAGGGAAGCAGAAGCAAAAGAGGCTCTAACTATGGGGCTACAATATGATCTTTAAAAACAAGGAAACCTTCCTTTTATATAGGAACATATATTCAAGGAATTTAAATCTTTTCTTTTCCAGATCAGGTGATTAGGTGAACCAAATATCACCACTGGATTCAATAAATAAGACTGACTTGATCCTCCCGTCCTTCTGTTAGCATCTGCTGCCTTCCATGTCCGTCTCTTAGTCTACGGTTGAGCGGCTGTCCATCAGAGCTGATCGTTTCTGATGAATCTGTTGCCCTCTGAGTGCTTGCCATAGTAGATGTAGCGACACTTGGCGAACACTCCTAAAAACAGAAAGAGGAGAGTTCAGTCAGTTTGCTTTAGTACCTGTATATACTTTTCACATTGAAATTTCTAACTGGACTGCATTTCCGTAAACATTTTAGTGTCAAAACTAAACAATCAGCAGTTTCTAGGTTGTAGTATAATAACTGCAGTGCATTTGCAGTGTCATTCGCAGATTAACAACAGCAGCTTTCAACCTGTTGGCAAGACCCTCAGAGCACGTCTCTGATGTGGTTTGTTTATAAGAATGACAGGAAACCAAGAAATAGCAAACTTGTAAGTTCATTTTTAATTACATTTAATTCAATTCAATTTGATTTATATTGCACCAAATCACAAAGCAGTCACCTCAAGGTGCACGAAAACCCTAACTATAAAACGATCCCATCTGAACGAGCACTTGGCAACAGTGGGAAGGAAAAACTCCCTTTAAACATGAAGAAACCTCTGGCAGAACCAGGGGTTCTGCTGAATCCAAACTAGGAGCTGGTTCCGCAGAAAAGGGGCCTGAAAGCTGAAGGCTCTGCCTCCCATTCTACTTTGAAATATCATGAAACTATGCAGATGTATTAATATTATTGAAGGCATCTTCAAAATCTAGGTAATAAATTCAGTTTATCTGTTTGACTTTAAAGACACACAAAATAAGCCTGGCTGAGTTTCTAAATGGGAAACACTGAAAGTACACAAAACTGTTTTGTTTACTGTAGTCGTGCAGTTTTAAATGGCAGGACTGAACTGGGTGTGCGTCTCTGCTTCTTGCAGGCGGGTGAAAGAGGCAGTTTCAGAGAGAGACCTGAATATTTGCATTTGCTTCCAATAGATGCAGCATGCAAGTTTAATCAGGAAGGTGTATTTACTGCATTACAGGAACGTATTTAAATAACTCAATGCAGACACAAGATTATTTACTTTATCCTAAGGTTACTTTACTAATTATGGATTAAATTAACTGCAGGATTTAATGATTATTTTCATTACAAATTAAACTTTCTGGCATAAAATGTGAAACATTTCCAAATATTCTTTACATGGGTCTTCCAAATAAGAGGACATCCTGCTTTTCACCGCATTTATGTGCATATATTACTTTTCATTAAGGTATCATATTTATACTTAATCAGCAGTTCTTGTGGATGGAACTACAGTACTAGTCAAAACAAGCTGAACTTCTGTGCTATTATTTCATAGAAGATAGGCAGAATTACTTTATCAAAGAGGTTTACATATATACCTATACATATATCTGTCTATTCTATATTATTAAAACAGTTAATTTAGATATTAGCTATTTAAAAAAAAAAAAAAAACAGAGAGAAACGTAATCTACCGGAATAACAATCAGGAAAATCAGTAAAACCAAGTATTAAAATTAAAGCCACATCAAAGGGGGATGATGGTCTGCAGTGCTTTTCTTGCTTTATTGCGAGGTGGTGCTGTCCATGCAGAGAGCTGCCCCGAGCTCCGTATTTGGTTTGCAGACGTTGATGTCACATCGCTTCCACTGCCACTTGATGAATGTGGCGGGCTGTACCTAGGTGTCACCTCTCGCCAAATGAGGCAAGGACAAGTGGCATTAGCGCTGTCAATGATCATCTGACAGGAGAACAGATAAAGCTTTCACCATTTTTTTTTTCTAAATAGACATCAAGTGCATTACGGGAGGAGGGAGGGGCAGGCCAGATGCAAGGCAGTGGAGAGGCAGTGTTGCAGAGGGATGAGGGGTGCTCCAAGTGGTAAGTCCAATCACATAATCCAAAGAGACATTGTCAAGGGCGAGGAGAGAATGGCAACTAAGTGACAGAAAGCAGAGACGGGGACAGAGATACTGGTGCCATATTAGTGCCAAGCATATTCTGATGCCACCCTCAATTCTAACCAAACCTGACACATCGCTCTCTTTCCCCCACTCTCTCCGACTCTTCAAAGTAGGCTCTACCGAGTGACACACACATATGCACACATATAGAGCACACACACACACACACACACACACACACACACACACACACACACAGTCCCTGGCAGCAGTAGTGGGTGTTCTGTCAGGCGGCGGAGCTGTACAGCAGCAGCAGAAGCCCACAGGCCCGAGGACAAGCTCAGTCAATCTAAATCTGGATTTTGTAGTGGAGCAGTGCTCATTTCCCCTCATAGCCCAGCTACTTGAGGTGATCCAAACACTGAAGTGTGAGAAGCTGTCACCTCCGATAAAATCCAGGACCAGCTCCGTGCCTGCCTGCTCCCCCGGTGTACGGGGGGTACATACACACGTGTGTTTGTACGTGTGTGTGCATGTGCTTCTCTGACAGTCAGGAGGCTGGGGTGGGGGGGATGAATTCCAGCTGCCGTGATTTGCCTGGGGATATAGGTGCCACGGCTGGAGAGTGGGCTTGACACCACTGGAATCGGGGTGTCTCACAGTGCTCTGATCACATGGGTACCAGGGCCTTTCACATATTCACAGCTTACCCAGCGAGATAGCTCGCGCTCTCCAGGAGTAGGGCGATGGGGAGAAATGACCAGAACCAAGGCTCCCAATAAGAGCTTACCTAGAGGGGATATATTTGTAGGTTGCAACCAAAGCCTTTCAGAGATAACCTTCACAGATGAAGGAACTAAAGCCAAAGGCCCCTCGAACCTTCACACTCCGCTGAGCTCGTCACTAGCCTGTGGGGACTGAGAAGGATTGGAGGGACCACATTCTGTGATTCTCCAGTACCAATCAGAAAGCGCTGGAAAATGTGTGACCTGTAACTCCACAACAGCGTTAATATATACACTTGTGTGCGATCATAGGAGAAGTGGGAGTTTAAATTAAGGAAAAAAGGGAAGAACAAAGAACAGGCAAGAGGTCCGTCTCCCAGTGGGTGAAAAAGTGCATGAACGTTGAAAGCTCTACATTTCAGCACTACATTAAGCGGTGTGTTTGGTGCATAAACACATTCCAGTTCACTGCATTCCCTTCACAGCAAGTGTTTGCTCTTATTACAAGAGAAACCAGGAGAAAGATGGGGTGGCTGGAGACAGGAAAGGGAATAACTAAGCCAAACTTGGTCTTACATAATGCCCTCTGAGGCCACAGTCACGCCGGTGGGGCTCTGCCTGATGAACTGATACTTAATAAAAAGTGTTACAGTGCCAAACGTGCTAGTGTACAATATCCTCTGTGTACCCTGAGACATGGATGAGCACACTCGAATCAACACCCACACTCTCAACCATGTACACATTATCACAAACTCATACCCCCTTTCATCTCGAGCACACGGGGAGAACGGTGGGAGCAGCCATTAAAGTGACAGATTAACAAAGTGACGGGGAGGCTAACGTTTCCATCATGCCCTGGTGGAGCAACAATCAGCCCTTTATACTACATACTGTATGTCACACAGCCCCAAGTTAGACGCAAACCCTCTTGTCTTTATTAAAAGCTTGCACAATTGGTTTTTTGCATCTCCTGCTTGGTGATTGCTGCAGTGTGGGTTCATCGTCAGAAAAGTCTGGTCTTTTGCGAGCTGATTACCCAAAGCATGTGTCCTCCCCACAGGGGCTTGATGGGCCATTCTCCCACAGTGTGAGTAAGCTAACTGTGCAAGCGTCATGTTTACAGTGCTCTAACACCAAATCAACACATACAGCATCAACAGTTGCTGTTGAACACAGAATTTCTTAGTAATAATAAAGTACAGTATAACCAAAGGGGTAAAGCAATCCCAGCAGACAGAACTGACAAAGTAATCAAGGGTGTTTTATTGTTTTGCTGCATAAGATTAACACAACAAAAAGTCATCAATAAACATTTGAATAGAAAGACAATAATGTATTCCTAATCAAGTTTCATTGTCCTTTGTAGTTCAGAGTATGTTTTTATGTTTCTTTCAGATAATTTTCTGGTATAACCTGCAGAGATGAATGTCATTCTTTTTTATGTGGATATTTAGGAGAGCATTAGCTAGTCCTTTGTTTGAGATTTATGCTGTAATTATTAAATTGTAATACCGAAGAGGCGCCGCCTAAGAGTATTAACTTGGCAAGATAGCGGTAATACATGAAATATGATTGTACAGCAAATAATAAAATGCATCAATCTGTGTGGTTTTAGATTATACCTGAACAGTCATTGTCTTCTGTTGGTAATGCCTGAAAAGTGGGCTAATCTCCAGCAATTTTACTACATTAACTCCTCACCTGTTAAAGATGCTGTGACCTAACAAGAGACATCAAGAGAAATGTGGAACCAAATCTGATGTAAAATAATATTAGTAATAGTATTAACAGAGAGGTAGTAGACATAGCTTTCGGGTGTCTCAAAACTTAACAGATGGAAGAAGGCAGATCGTGTAAGAGACATAGTTTGTGTAAGAAATAAGGACTTGGACTAATTTTTTAGCTCATAGCATGTGTGGGTCTTGTAGCATTTCATCAGCGCACACTTATAAGAGGAAGACAGAGGGAGTCAGAGAGGGGAGGGAGATGGAGTGGGTTTAATGATTGTTCCCTGCATACAATCAGCTTGACTCTTTTCAAGGGCCATCAATATGTCACAGAAAGACACATCCAACGGATGTAGCTTTTAACATCAAGGTTATCTATTCTTGGCATGAATTCACTCCCTCCACTCCTAGTTTCTTGCCCTGTCCCCTCTCCACATCTATTCTCCCCTCTTGTCTTAACTGCTTCCACTTTGTCTTTCTCCTCCTTTATGCACTCTTCTGCTTTCTGATTATTCACTGATTTTTTTTTGTGTAACCACACTCTCCTTTTTAGCGACTTAGCCAACAATTTGTGCGTTTCAATCCGTCAGGGGGGAAAAAATATAACTTGAAGAATCCAATTAACAACACAATTACACTCTCCGTATTATCTCCAAGGGCTGAAATAACACTGGGCAGGTGGGGGATGGGGTCAGATGTTGTTCATCGCTGGCTTCTATAAGAATTGGTGCAAGTGACTTATGGGCTTGGGGTGGAGGCTGCTGTGAGCCAGGGCTATTATTGTG